AGGCTTCAAGTTGCATTTGGGGTTTCCTCTGTACAGCAAGATGTTTCTTGCCTTTTGTTAATGCATTGTTGTAAAGTATTTGATGTACATTACAGATAAAAAACAAAAACAAGTGCATTGTGTATATTACACCAATGCCACAGTGTTTCTTCATCTATGGTTCTAAATATTGCTTCAATTTCAAAATTTTGAAAGATGTATGAATTTCCAGTTTTTTTGTTTTCTTTTCCCCAGTGCGTTTTAACAACAACAACAAAAAGGAATATTTAGCAGTATTGTTCGTTCTGATATGTGAATTTGTTTGTGGCAACTAAAAAAAAAAAAGGCATTCAGCAGTTTCTGACAATTAACATTCATCATTCCACACTCCTTGTCAACAAAGTGCTTTTTCACTGCCTAAAATTTTAGATGTAGATATTTGAAATAGATTTTTCATTTATACCAGTTTTCTTTATGATGATACAGTGTTAAAAGAAAATAAATTACAATTGATCTGTCATCCATATTTGCTAAGAATGTCTATTTCCAAGCACCTATCATAAAAATACACATTCTTGCTTGTGTGTGTCTATGTATGCCTAATATTCTCTTTGTGTGTGTGTGTGTGTGTGTATGCATGTGTGTGTGAGATAAGAGTTATTTTCATCTGCTGTTCTCCTTGTTCAAGCTTTAATTTTTTTACAGTGGAAACTCCAGTATGTATTTTTCCTCACCCACTATTGATAGTGAGTCAAATTATTAGGACAGTTCCAAGTGGAGTTATAAGGTTTTAACCCATTCCTTCATTCTTAGATGCCATTCCCTTCAAGATCCCATCCCTCAACATTCTTACCATGAAGACAAAGCTCAGCCTAGTCTGTATTGCCACCCTAGAACCACCCACTAGCAAGTGCTACAGGCAGAAGCAGTATAATCTCTTTCATGTTCCTGAGGGAGAGAGGCTAGCACAGTCAGTTCTTAAATCTGGACAAGGACCCAGCACTGAGATACTGGCACAGTTGTTTTTCTTTTAATCATATCAAAATATTCCTTAGATATAAAAACCATTGACCATTTCTGGACATTTAAAAACTCAGATAAAAAATGAAACTGATAAAAGCTAGAATGAGCTTTTTTATTTTTTATTTTCCAAAATGTGGAGCAATGACTGGAGATACTTTTATCTTCATCCATCTACAGCTTGGAAGTAAAAAATTTGAATCCACAATATATAGTATTCATATCATTCAGCTAACTGCAATGCACAGTCTTGACACAACTAGATCCAATACAAATGAAATATTTGTAAATTAGTGAAGCTTCAGCATATAGTTTGTTTTAGGGATACAAACATTTCTGTGATTACTCATTGTAATAGTCCCAGCATTGCCTGAATTATACCCCAGAGGCAGGAAAAACTTTCTCAAATCCTTATCTGTATTACAGAGCAAAAATAGTACAGGTCACTGGGGCAAGTGTTGTGATGTAGACATGGTTTATCAGTAAGCTAGCACTGTAGTTGAATCTTTCTGGCAAACCTTCCCAGTGTATGATAAGCAACCGTAGCTCTTCTTTGTAGTAAACAGGAAAAATTGCATGAAATAAAAAGGAGGGAGTGGCACCGTAGGCCAAATGTATATTGAGGTAGATACAAATATTATTCATAATTTTGGACACAGGCTGTTTATATTTTCTTTATTAAGTTGATGTTAAAAAGATAAGTGACATTTGCAGCACTCTTTTGAACAAAGCACATTTTCTGTATAAAGAAAATTAAAAAAAAAAAAAAAGCAACATCACGTGCGACTTGAAGTTCACCCTGATTGACTATGCCCATCAGACTCATGCATTTCTCCTGTTACAGGCGTGCACATAGGCCTAAGGGACCTTGGATTCTATATAATGCAGAAAGTTGTAAGTTTTGTTTATTTAAATTCTTTGAGCAGGTAAAATGCCCATGTTGTTTCCTCTAGATTCTCTTAACCATGAGGCTAAACGAAATGCTGACCATTTGTCAAGTGAAAGATATTGGATTAAAGGCACAAAATGGCATGAAACTCTTTCTATGTTCCTCCCCTCATCCCCTTTATTCCATTCTTCTCCAGTGGCAAGTACTCAGAATAGTGACTTTCTTGTTGTATTGAGTCTTGGGAAGGTGCAGAATTTCCTGGCTTCTTTCCAGCCCTGGCAATCTAGTGCTATCTCCCATGCCAGGCAGGATATGTAAGATTTTCTCTTTTGAATATTGGGGAAAATATGACCACCTACTGCTGCTCCCTTCAGCCTTGTAACATACCACAAAACACAGAGAGCGAGAAATGTTCCAAAAATGTATAAACTGCATTTGATGTACTGTAAAATGTTGGACTTTTTTAAACAAGCTTCTTATTAGAATCTTGATTAGCTGTGTAGATCTATATAAATCTCAATGTTTTATTAAAATGTTGTTTATGGTCTGGAAGGAATGGTTAACCTATCTCAATACTAACAAAATTGCACTACCATGAGCAATATTGATTTGGGGGGGGAAGAAATTGAATATGGATTCAATATTTAAAGGATGAACTAAAAATTTAAAATACTATATTAACACAGAAATACATTTTGGCAAATAATGTATTTAAGTCCAAAAGATAAAATAAACACTGGTGTCAAATAATATGAAAGAAATATAAAATTATAGATTGACAAAAAAAGTGTTTCACTGTACATGTTACTAACATGTACAAAGACTAACTCGTATTAACATATTTTCTATTAATAAATCCTACTGTATTGTGGAGAACTGCTGTTCATAGTGCAGTGTGTTTAAACGCAAAAGTGAAAAATTATGATGAATTAAGTTACTTTCTAGTTTGCCCCACTTACATCACCCTAGGCTTTATTCATTTTCAACTGTTACGCATCAATGCATTTTCACCTCTAAGCTCAAAAACAATGGAAAGGCAAGTTTTGGTTGTTTTCAGTCATGACAGTTTTCATATCCTACCCTAAGGTTTATTGGTAGGGATGCTAGCAGAGTGTGTGAAAACAGCATATCTGGGAGGATGGGGCCTATTTTGGAAGTCATGTCATTAGTGCCCATTTCACCACTGCTTATGGTTCCCAGTGCTTATTAGCAGCCAACTTTAAAGGGGTTAGTTAATTCATCTACAGCTATAGTTGATGAACTGGAGGAACCATGTATAGAGCTACTGGATACTAAAAAAAATAAGCATAAACCACATAACTTGCCCCCAGTCTTTTTGTAGAACAAACCCAGATAACTAAAGGGAAACTTTGCTTTAACAATGTTGAGTCATAGAGTATGCAGCTGTCTAACACATACTCCAGTTAATGACTAATAATCTCCTTAGCACTAGATGTTTCAATCTTTTGAAGATACGTTATCATTTACCCTGAAAGTGAAGTCAGTTAAGCTAAACAACAGAAGCCAACTTCTTAGATACGTTGGTAAATTACAGACTGTACATGGTCTATCTGCTGCAGAGTGCTATACTTGAATTTGAGACACTGCTCCTGCTCTCCCCCTCTGCCAGTTACTCAGTCCACAGTTGCTGGTCTTGGGAGAGAGAGGTCTTCATTGTTCTGCTAGTCCTTGTATTCTGTGGGGAGGAAAGAGAGGGCTGTTAACAGTGCAGAAAAGAAAAAACAAAAGGAAACTAAAAAAAACACAAAACAGAACAGAACTACAAAGCCTCTAATACCTAGATTAGCAGTGTAAGTAGAGATGTGGTGCATAATTACCACAGAAGGAAAATATTCAGTGGTACCGTTTTTCTCAGTTCAGACATCAAGTATTGCTAGCATGTCACTTCACTGAATATTTAATTGGAGGAACATGACAGGAACAAACTTTTAGGCTAAAGTGTCAGACACTGATTCAAGTATGACAGGAGGAACAAAACTTGCATTTACAATGGAGTACCTACCTCATCAGTCAAAACCTCCAGATTCAGCCCATCAAATCAACAACCTGAACAATGGAGCCTCTGTACCAGGTCAGCACATGGCAACAGCTCTAACAAAGGCAAATTGTCAGCCCAGGGCCTTAGTCCTTGATCACCATCATTTGAAAGATCTGACTACCATAACAATGCTTAAATCTCCCAAGTCAGATGATCCAAACTGTGATCCAATAATTAATTGCCTTTACTTATATGCATAATAATCTAACAAAATATCATGACTAAGAGTTATTTTACAATGTGATTCCAATGGAATCTTATTGTATTGAACATAATCTCAAATGGTTTTCTTCTCCTTTGAGCCAAAGATACTGGAAGGGAGGCAGACGCCCTCTCCCAGGAGAATTCATACAATAGCCACTTGCAAAATACATAGCTTTCACCTAATGTGTGATGCAAAGCCCACTGAAGTCAGCAGAAAGAGGACCATTGACTGCAACGGACTGTGGATCAGGAATTAATATAGACAAAGAATGCTTGCTGTACACTGAAGTCATCAAGAGCCTACTCTCTGACACAAGGAAAGTACTTTTCTCTAGCTGTCGAAGCAAAAAACAAACAAAAAAGTAATGATGCTTCTTAGTACCAAACTTGCTTAGTCCTGGGATCTGTACCCATGAAACAACTGAGCTGTTTTAGATGGCAATAAGCATTTCTTAAAGTAATAAAGTGGCTAAGGCCCAAGTAGTATATCCTGATTATTGCCTCATAATGAAGCAGCGCAGTTAATCTTATTATCACTAGCATGCTACAAATGTTATAGAGCTGGAGAGTGCACAATTCTAAATATATACAGGCTGACTG